AACATTTTTGCACATAATAAAATACAACAGCCAATTGAGTAAAAGAAAAGAAACAAGAAAAACAGACCTATTCGAACGAACAACAGGACTGAGAGATCTATTGCACTCTTACACATTAGAAAAGGCACAAATTGAACACATTACGTTATCTGAAATCCATAACTGCTACAGTACGACATTGTGTTCTGCTAACGGCAAGTCGACAGCATCCGTCACTGTACATAGCAGTGTTTTGGAGTCAATGTACGAACTAAGTGAAGGCCAAGGGTAACAACGACGGGAAGTTCATATAAGGCGACGGGAGCATGTCCTCCTAAAAATGAGGGAGTCATTTGTCTTCCTTATTTCACGCACGCATTCTTCAGTACAATGGCATCAGGTGGCTGAACTGACCACCGTATTGACACTGTTCAGGTAGTGAATTCGGAGCGGCGTTAACGTTAGTGGTAGCGGCGGTGGCGGTAGCGTACTCATAGCCAGGTTCTGATGCAAAACTGCCTCCAGAAGAACCTTCAGAGAAGCTTCCTGACGGTGGCGGCTTTGGCAGCAGGAGACCTGAGAAAGTGTTTTTGGCATTGTTGTCACCGCTAGGGTACGGAGTGCAGAATCGCTGCGAGTGAGGAAGAAACGAAGATTCAGAGTGGAACGAGTAATCTTCGTAGCAACAGTTTGACGGGTCGGGAGTGCTGCTCGGCTGGAAACCGTAGGCTGGCGTAGAAGCGGCCGAATTCGGTGTCGAGAAGGAACACGTAGGGAAACTTTGCAGACTTTGCAGAATTTCCTGCGAGGACTGGTCAAACTGAGGGCACAAACCGTCACTGTTGGTCAGCAAATCTTTCAGATACCGAATGTAGCATGCGGCGGATCTCAGCGTCTCTACCTTGCTCAGCTTCTTCGCTTTGCCACTGTTAGGAATGTGATTGCGCAACGTGACGAAGCCCATGTTAACCTGCCGAACTCGGTTCCGTTCTCGGGCGTTTCGACGAGCTACCTGACCCGGCGGCTTGGCAGCACTGGACGGCAGCATGTCCTTGCTTTTCGACAGGACTGGGAGATCGTGGGAGGCTGCCGGTAGAGACGATGAGACGGTTGGACTCGAAAGCACCTTCGACATCTTGCTGGCCACTGCTGAACTGCAACAGTTGTCCGTCGATCTGTGACAGACAAGATGATGGTGATGACGACGACACCACAGTAGCAAACGGATGAATGAACGCTAGCGAGTGGCCGGTAACAACGAGCCAAATAAACTGACGGAATTCGAGGCGAACTGCTAAAAACCGAAAAGGGTAATCTCGTGGCCGGCGTAGCCCCGCCCCGAATAGCAACAGCTCGGTGATTGGTCGATTCCCAGAGACGGTAATTGCACTACGGTCATCGCCGCACAGACAATTGACGCATAATGCCGGCCTCCCTTTGTATTGATGTAGCGCAAAATTAATTTTCAAATGATAAGTGCGTCGCAGACCAACAGCTGGGTTAGACGAATGAATGGAAGGGACGGATTAATAACAAATCAAACCATAACCTCAGGTGGCTGAATGTGGGGACTTTTTGGATCGTCGTTTTCAGCCGCCTCGCAATGAGGAACCAAGTGACGGTGTACGCGGTGAGGCGATGAAAAATCACTGCCCCCAAACGTCTTACGTTCGCCGCTGGTGTTGCTGTGTGTCACGATGCTTTGTTTTCGGCTCGAGGCTGAGAACTGGTGGTCCCAACGCTGCCGATCAATTCAAGGTCATGTGCCATCGCCAGCGAGCGGGGTCCAAAGA